ATCGGGATGTGAAGAGACGTTCAACCAGCATAACAAAAAATGTTTCTGAAGACAATCACCTATTGCACCTTTAACGTCTACACCTACCACAAACCCAAATCTACCCTTACAGTAATGCAAATAGTAATTATGTGTTATATTCGCGGTTGTAGATAGAAGGGATACACAGCTACAGGAAACCAATACTAATTATTGGTTAATTTTTTCTACCTATTAGATTGTGTTTTATTAAAGTCTACACCTACCCCAACCCTAAACCTACCCTTACAGTAATGCAGATACATTAAATATTGTTGTTCAGCATGGGAAAAACGACGCAATGTTGATGTGCGCATGCGCAGTAAACCCTGGTAGGACAATCTCAATCTGATGGGTAGGATAAAATGTCTGGACACCGGCTCGTCGCTCCCGCCTCACAGCAAGCGCCGCTCGCACTAACGCCAATTCCGTCCGTGTTTTCACTATAGTAAATCAGTTTTGGTGAATACAAACAACGTGATTATTAATCACCCCAAAAAAGGCGATTGTCCCGCATTTTCATTTGCTGAAGTTGGCAACCCTAGGTGTAACGATCCATCAATATGGATTGATACTGTTATTTTGTTTTCAGAATTGTGATTTGTTTAGCACTTCTCGGTTACCGTATATATTGGATCCTTGCTTTCCTTCTTAAAGTGAAAGCAGACTAAGAAAATTTCTGTCAAATACATTTTTTTTTTTCACAGATGCCTGAAAAACCTGAAAAGCACTGTTTATTTAAATTTGTGTCTTTGTTATATTGTATTTATTTTCTGGTATTGCTTGTAATTTGGTTATCTGTAGAAAAGTGTTTTTTTAGCACTGAGCCCATAGTAGCAGCCAAAAAAGTCTCAAATAAAGTTTTAACAGCTTTATTTTTGTATTTTTTAAATGTATTTTTCTACATTAATGTATTTTTTCCTACAAGAGTACCTAATTTGTGTTGTTTCCTAATGAGGATTTACATTGTTTTACACATTGCATATTTTAGCACAGAAACCTGAAAGACTGTCTTGACTGTTGTCATATCTTAAGATTACTGATCTTGTGTGTGACTTTTTGTGAATGTCCCAACTGAGGAACAGGATGTGAAAATTTAAGATAAATGTTCATGTTATATGTTTTGGTTGCATTTGTGAGTTAATAAAAATGTAGATGGTTGTTTAAAATAGGTATATAATATAATAATATCGATATATCGATCGATATTCTTCTGTATTGAATCGTATCGTAGAATGTTTTGAAGTATCGGGAAATATCGTATCGCTGGATATGATCAGATAAATGTTCATGTTATATATTTTGGTTGCATTTGTGAGTTAATAAAACTGTAGATGGTTGTTTAAAATAGATATATAATATCATAATATCAATATATCGATCGATATACTCCTGTATCGAAACGAATCGTATCGTAGAATTTTTTGAAGTATCGGCAAATATCGTATCGCTGGGTATGAGAATCGATATCGTATCGTGACGAACCATCCGATTTACACCCCTAGTTAAGAGCTTGAAAACAGTGCAAGAAAACAGGTCTTTGCAGAGTAAATAAGTTTTTTCTTATAATACAATGCAGGCCACACACCAGCAGACCTCAGTGACGCATCAGTACGTAACAATCCTTATGCTAAGATGTAGTGTGATTTGACCAAATCTTTTGAACAAATATGCAAAATCGTAAAAAATAAGAAAAAAAAAGCACTTAAAAAATAAGAAATGTAAATAAACAAAAAACTAACTAAAATTAAAATAAATAAACATATTTTTGTAGTATCAAAACAAATATATAATTTATAATTAATATTTGCAAATAATATTTTATAAATTATAATAAATTAATTATAATAAGTTCTATAACACTAATTATAATTAATAATGTATTTAAATGATAATAATACAACTGCGCATACACATTATGTATGTGCATATACATATTACATTGTCATACACAATTGTCTCAATATCAAGGTCAATTTACCAGAATTCACCTTATGCCCTAATTCACATTTTCCTATACTTGACAATAACAAATATGTTTATGTGAAAGTGTGTGTGTGTATTTTATATTTATGTGTGTATATGTGTGTGTAAGAACACAGACTCTGCTGGTTATATTCACCTCAAATGTGCAGCAAAGTCATTGATGTAGTTAGAAACGTCACCATTCTTTTTATGCCATGAACTGTGGATGACAAAACCACACACACAAAAATACATTTGCACACCCACACAAACACTGCAGTTACCTACATTTGCTGAGCCACAGGGAGTAAAAGGTGATGAGTATGTGCTGAGTGGATGTGTGCGTGTGTGTGTGTGCGTGTGCGTGTGTGTGTGTGTGTGTGAGAGAGAAATCAACTCACCCTGTGTT